TTTATTAAGTTCTTTACCTGCTAATTGGGATAACTTGGTTACCACTGTGACAAATACAATGGGTAACAAGTTTAATTTTAAAGATGTTGTAACTTCATTATTAAATGAAGAGGCTAGAAATGCATCTACACAAATGCTTGTTGAGTCAAATCAAGCATTACAACATGAGATAGAGGAAGAACCTAACATAGAGATCTACCCTATAGATTTAATAGGGGTAAATCTCATGCCAGAGGTAGATCCAAGACACAGGGCAAACAAGTTACTTGCCGGTATTGCAAAAAACCTGGTCATATAAAGAAATATTATTATGCTTTGAAGGATAAGCAAAAAGACAAGGACAAAGATGGCCATGCCGAAGCAAGTACGGTCTCTGATGGTGAAAATGTAGTCATTTTTAGTGTTGCTTGCACAACACTGCCTAATGAAGATAATTGTGTATTGGACTTTGGGCTTCATTTCATGTTGCCCATAAAGATTATATTTTTTATCCTGCACAAATGTGGATAATGACTTTGTCTATCTTGGTAATGATAAAGCTTGTAAAATTTTGAGCATTTGAAATATTCACATAAAAATATATGATAGTATGGTTCGTACATTTGAAAATGTGAGTCATGTGCCATACTTGAAAAAAAATTGATTTCGCTTGTTACTCTTGATATGGAAAGCTACAAATTTACCGAGCAATATGGAATGCTCAAAGTTTCAAAAGGAGCTCTGGTGATGATGAAGAGAGTCCGAGAACGAAACTTGTACAAATTGTTAGAGAGCACAGTTATAAATAAAAGGGTAAATGTGGATGTTGAAGAAGAATAAGTTCTTCGACAAGAGCCATATGGTTTGGTAATGGAAGAACTTGATGGTACAAAGCAAGTTCTTGACAAGGATAATCGGCAAGAATTAGAGCTCTTACAAGAGGATGTGAAGCCGAAAACTTCTCATGAATTTCCTTCAAACCAATGTTCAGAATTTGGTGAAGGAATGACCGATGTGATTAGAGTGTTGCATCCCACTCTAATGTTGGTTTTGATAATTGCCATGATCTGCATGAAATTTATCATTTCACTTATTTGTTTTTTTGTTGATTGGCTTGTATTTAGCTTGGGAAGAAAATGTTGGAATGAAGTGAAATAAATACTTTAAAATTTAAGAAGTATGAGCATGGATTGCCAAGTTTTTCAAGGCTTCATGGGAGAGATTAATGTAAAGGAACTTGGTGATATAAGATCAACCACCGGTTGTGCTTATAGGTTCATAAGCAATGGTTCATCTAAATCATGTGTGAATGCAAGATGACGCCAAGAGCTCCAAGATGCAAGTGTTGAAGAAAGTGGAGTTCACATGAGAAGTACAAGTACGAAGTAAGATGAGCAATGCATGCTCATGAAGGAGGCGTAACCACAAGAGGACGAAGAATTTTGCATTGATGATTATTTTACAGCGTTGAAGATTTGCATTCATGTGGAAGATTGTTATTTGTGGGCTTAATGATTTGTCTTCAAGTGGGTTACTGTTATATGTGTGAACGCAAATCACACATGTTTTTCTTTTTATTTGACTTTTCCTCTTTTATTCTAAGTCATTGGATGGGCTTCTAATCCAAGGGTGTGAGGTTGTAGGAACTTTCGTCTTTAAATGAGTTTTGTTCCTTGTTTTAGTGTGAGAGAAAAAGATAAAGAGATTGGGCTGTAATTGAGTTTTCTTTTGAGGGTTGTGTATGCTCTAAGAGAGAAAGTGAGCAAAAACTTGAGCCTATTGTGGGTTTGTTGTTTGCCCTCGTTTAATAAGAGAAAGTGTCAAAGAGAACCCATTTTTGGGTGTTCTTGGTGTCCTAGTTTTGAGCTCTGTTTAGAGTAAGAAAAGACTATTGAAAATTGATTCCTTGAGCTCGATTTCACCTTGTAATCTTCCCAAATTAGTAAGTAAGGTCTCGCGTCATTTTCTCATGGTTGTAAGTCACGATTTGTGACTGAACCACATTAAATCTTTATGCTCTATGGATTGAATGTTGCTAGATTTTTTATTCCATGTTTTTACTTTGATATTGTGTGAATCTTATAAACTCTCTCTGATTTTTCACCAATCGATCACAACACGAATCGGGTCCAACCGAACTCGGACCTGAATAGTGGTCGGTCCAGGTTTTGGACTTGAACCCGAACCGCAGGGTCGAAATGTTGGACCTATACCCGGACCTGTTGGGGTATATACCCGGCGGGTCCTAGGTCAGATCCGGGTCGGGGTCCAATTCCCCCACTAAAATCTACCCATCTTGTTATCTCTCAACTGCTTATTTGAGGCTCCGCCATGGGAGAAGACATTTTAAGTCTCCACTACAAGTGAAGACACGCCGTAGATTGACATTGATAACAAGTACGCTCAAAGGATGCGGATTTCTGCCCTCTTTTAGAGAGAGAGAGGGGACGTAGACAAGGGGATGAGAGAGACCTGGAATGGGGACGAGAGGTATGACCAGAGGACGTGAAAACTTATCTTTCAACCCAGCACTCCCTATCTTGACTCTTTTATCCTGAGAGTGGCAATGGGCTGGGTGGCTCGGTCTGTCCCGTTTTAGCCCAGCCCAGCCCTAAACAATTAGGGCCCGGGCCACAAAATATACCCCAAGGACCCGTCAAGCCGGGCCGAGGCCAAGATAGGGCCAGCCCTAATTTGTTTCTCTTTTTTAGTTTAGGAGGAGTGATTTCATCTTACTAATATAATAAAAGAATCATAAAAAATGATGTAAAGCTCTTTTTGTTTGATCTTAATTTTTAAATATGTAAGAATCATAAAAAATGATATAGAGGTTTTTTGTTTGATCTTAATTTTTAAATATGTAGTAAATTTTAAATATATACTTTTTCCATTAAAATGAATTATCATAAAAATAAAAAAACAAAATTTAAAAACATACTCTAAAAAGTGTTTTTTAAACTCAATTAATATAACTTATCTACTTTAGTGAGATGCTTAGATTTAGAGTTTAGAAGGATTTTTTTCTTTTTAAAATTCTCAAATAATTTTATTATCATTAGACAGTGACATATCTCTTCCCCTTTTGTTATTTTGATTAGTATAGCATAGCCCGGATACACCCAAGGGCCCGGCCTTGCCAGGGCCCTCTTTGGCCTAATCTGGGCTGAACCAGGCTTGGGCAGGCCCTCCAGAGAATAGGGCCAGGGTTGACCCGGCTCTTTCGCCAGCCGTAGTTCTCCATCTGCCTCTTTTTCAAATTTTTTTTTTCTACTTCTCCCCGCTACTCGCTCGCCCGCTAGTCTGATGCCTGTGCTAATTCTCCCTCACCATCTTTGATCACTTTTTTTTAAAAAACTTTCTTTCAAGAGGATGCTACTTGCTGGCCGTCTGATGTCCTCAAAATATACATTGCTTTTAAGAATTGAAATCGATTGTTCAGCTGCACGATAACGCCTCAAAACATATCTTGTTTTTAGGAATTGAAATTCATTATTCAGTTTCATCACTATCATTTTTTTTGCTTTATAATCACCAAAGGGCACTGATTTTATACAACCGTTGTATAGTAATATGATGTAACAACATTAAAACACCATCTTATGGTCATTTGTTTGATCCAAGTTTTGAAATATACACTCATTTCTGAACAATCACCAAAAAAAAAAATTGAAAACACAAACCACCAATTTATTACCTGGAGCTAAAATTGCATTTTTTGTGACGGATTTTGAGGTACAGCTTCTCCTTTTATCCCAATCACTATAAATTTCTTTCTCATACATATCATTTGTCCTTATATTTCAACGGGCCTAGAATTTATTATTTGAATTTTATATGATCGCTGCCGCATATCAATGAAGTTGAAAGGCAACTTCTATAGGACAACAGTAAAACCAACTTTGTTCTATGGAATAGAATGTTGTATAGACAAGAAAACAATATACTCATAAAATGAATGCAGCGAAAATGAAGATGTTGAGATGAATGAGTGACAAAACAATATGAAATAGAATTCAAAATAAATCTATATGAGAGAATTTAAACGTGGCACTAACAGGTGATAAAATGTGAAAGAGTAAAGTAAAATGGCATAATCATGTATGACACCGACCAAATAAAACATATGTTAAGAGATGCGAGTTAGTTCAAATAAAAGAATTAAAAAATTGAAAAGAATAAAAAGTAGACCCAAAAAAACGCGATTGAAAATCTATTGAGAATATGGTTTTTAATAAAGAAAAAGATGATGATAGGAGTTTATTATTTGAATCATAATAGAAATGCTTGTGATACTGAGGGTCTACCAAAACTCAAAACCATTATAACCCGAAGCCATTGTTAAAGAGCAGTGATTTCATACAACGGTTGTATCATAATATAATACACTGGCACTTAAAAAAACTATGTTTGTGGTATTTTTTATATGACCTAAATTTTTGCACTCTCTTCGTCTCAATAATTAATCCAAAAAAAAAAAATCAATTTAAACTCTAAATATGATCAAAATAAATCCCCTCTTAAAATAAATCTAGACCATTCATTTGATGAATTTCAAAATCTTGCCCATTATAAACTCAAAATCATTTTGTTTTTTTTTTTAACATTGTTTATCTCATAATAATAAAACCATCCAAAAAAATTAAAAAATGAAAATATCATTCTAAACCCTAAATCAAAGCATCTTGTAAAAAAAAAAAAACCTAAAAAAAAAATGTATATTTCAAAATTTGGATCAAACTAACAACCATACCATAGTTTTGAAAGTGGTTATATCATATTACTATACCATACCATAGTTTTGAAAGTGGTTATATCATATTACTATACGATCATTGCATGAACTCATTTGTTTTGTAGCATATATACAAATCGTTAAAACACTATGACATTCCAAACAATTTGTTATGTAGGACAAAAATAAGGCTCCTCTAAGAGGAACCCACCACTTTGTTATTCTAAAAAACACATGCCTTTCAAAACTAAATTTAAGAAACTTTCAAGAGGTAAATGAAGGGCCAGGAGGTCCACAATTAAATCCATTTTTTCCATATCTAAAATGGAGCCTACAACAGCAGCCTTGAATACATTCCAGATTGAGATCCCAAAAGAAAACATTTTCTGTACTTCTTACTTATTGTATTATACGGATATAAAAGGTGAGCCCTCAGTCACTCAAAATAGAAGACACAGACATAGAGGAGGGACCACGATAACTTGCAAACCATCTGAAGACATGACAAGAGACGACCTTGGCAATAACCACCCAGCCATATTATTTGTTCAAGCTTTCAAAATCACGGACTACTCCTCCTTGTACCCGCACGACCACATGAGAAATGAAGCAAAAAAAAAAACAAAAAAAGAAGGGAAAAATATGTAGAATTCCCCTCTACTTGTACTCGAGTATCATGTTGTTCTCAGGGGCCAAACCAATGCAGGCCCTCATAATGTTCTCAAGCATTGCCCTTTGCTTGGAGAGGGCATTCACCACTGGTGTACCAGGTGGAACCTAACATATTCAATTTTTCCAAGAGCCTTAGTTAGAAACTGATTCCTTTCTTCATTACCAATAAAAAAAAATTGTGCTTGATATAAATAATGCAAAAAAAAAATTAAATATAACTTTGATTTTGTCTCTTAATTGAAAAAAAAATTCAGATCTTCTGATCATATTCATTCATGAAATAATGTCAATTAGATTGTCTAACCCTTTTATGTATACTTTTGATCTAGTCTAATTCTCCTAAAACTTCGGTTATAATGTTATAACAAACTTACCAAGGGAGCTTTGGTGAGGTAGCTAAGGATGGTGGCAACCGGGTGGAAGGAGTGGAACTTCTCCTGTGAGAAATGCAATAAAACATCATTACCAAAGTTAATTTTCAACAACCAAAAACACCATTTCGCCTGATATCGGAAAAATATTGGGAGCAAAAGGATTGACAAAATTAAGGGGAAAGGGGATGAATGTACACCTCTCCATGTGCCTTGAGTTGAATACGGGTGCTCAGCTCAGCGAGGAGGACGAGGTCGAGAATGATCGGAGCAGCGAGGAGTGAGTCTTCACAAGTGTTGTGCAGAACAATGGTGCTCTTCCCACCCATGAATATCTCGGAGGTGTACTCATCCATGGCCCTCTTGCTATCACCCACATAGGGCACGTACTAACAAACCCAAACAACCCAACCCATAACGGAACCAGTCATTACCAAGTTGAGAGAGACAAGATCCAACTCCTAAAAGATAAGGTGTACTGACGTAGAAAATTTGAACTTTAAAATCACAGAGTCACGGAAAATAGGATAAGAGGTAACTTTCAGATAGCTAAAGGTGTAAATTAGACAGGAAAATTGGATAAGAGGTAACTTTCAAATGGCTAAGGGTGTAAATTGGTGCGTCCGTCGTAAAGTTCAAAAAAATTTTATTTGAATTATCTTTAACTTGGAGATGTACCAAAAATGATTAGCCTTATCATAAATTTTTTTTTTGTTAAGTAAATAAAAAAAAATAACTCTATTGAATTGTAAATAAATGAATAGAAGAATATCTTTTGTTTTCAGAAGTAAAACTTCAAATCAACAGGATTTGAGCTCAAATTTAAAAATCAAATTGTTTTTAAAATGCAAAACTTAGTGTATCTTTCAAAAAATTAGCCCGAAGGATTATATTTAATGGGTCTTAGTTTGTTGAAAAAAAAAAACATTACAAGACTGCAGAATTCGGAAACTCGCTTTAGTTAAGTGCCCCGGATTCTGGGTCTTGCTCCATGCGATTCCGGCACCGAGAGAGAGAGAGAGAGAGAGAGAGAGCATATACACCTTGATGACGATGACGTGGTCAGGGTGCTCTCCAGGCTCGTACAAGATGCCGTTGCTGGAGACCATATCATCCACAACGTTACTCTTCGATATCTCCTTGGACCTGAACGTCTGTGGCGCTGACAAATTCATCCCATCGTTGTTCCCGAGGTGATTGTAGCTCACTATCGATGTGGGCTGTTTGTTACACCAACCAACCACATTTATCACAATCCTTCTCTCCCACTATAAACCATTTTAGTACCACATTCACCGCTCTCTGTCTATATCAGACGCCTGACTTTTCTCTCTTTTACTGGGCCCACGCCCAGGGCTCAGGCTAACGTGGACCGGACCAGACCAGGGACCACAGCGCAGGACTAGGGCCATGCAGCAGCCAGGGACTAGGTCCGGTATAAATGCCATGCAGCCAAGAACTAGTTCCGGGCTAAGGCTAACGTTCCCTATTTAGGCTCTCCTCTCTTATCAAGGGTTCGCAAACTAAGCCAAACCAACTTGAAACCAGCCGGTCCCATCCAAACTAGGCACTAGCCGTTTGGTTTGGATGATTTTGGTCAGGGTATTTTAGAAAATATTCAAAGTCATTTATATAAAATAGTATTTTAGAAAAAATTCAAAAAAGTTCTCATAAAATTTTAAAGGGAATGGTATTTTAGAAAAAATTCAAAAAAGTTCATATAAAATCTTACAGGAGAAGCATACAAAGTTCTCACAATGCATCTTGACCACTTGATGTTGAGACCATACAAAGTTCTCACAATGCATCTTGACCACTTGATGTTGAGACCATTGTACAAGGTGGTCACAATTGATGACATCAGGTGGCTCATGGATGGTTGTAACTAATAGTGACCACCACCAAAGACAAATGGTCTCATTGTATACAATTTATAGGGTGTAATTTCCATACGGATGGATCCGTAGGTGCAGGTGCACCTTCAAATTTTATCACGGTATGGTACGTAATTTTGATGCAAAATATTTTTAAGATTACTTCAAAATCTATTTTTATATCTGATTATAAAATTTTAAATTTTAAAAATGATTAAAATCAAGTAGATCTATAAACATATATGAAAATCTAAAAAATGGACAGTATAGATAACATATTGTAAAATACACTATTTTTCATGGTCATCCATCTCAATGTCTAGATCATCACTCAAAGGGTTTTTCAACATTAACACCACCTTTTCAGATAGATTTTTGAGGTGCATTCGTAGCTTTACAGGTTGCAACCTTATATAAACTTTTTCCCTGTTCAAAAGGTAAGATATTTGTGTGTAATGTATTTTTGAATATTTATCATTTCGACAAAAATTATAAAGGTATTCTGACCAGGAATATATATCTTAATATTTTCCCAAGGCCACAAATCAATTTTTTAATATCCATTTTTTATTAATTTTAGATTTTCATAAATTTTCAACCATGTACATGCTTTAAAATATTTTTTGCCATTTTTTTATTTTTTTAACACTCTTTGGACGGATTTAACTATCGGTTGAATTTACCGGCAACAAAAACGGGCCATTTGGCCTTTTTCAAGGCTGGTTCAATTATTCGAATACTCTTATTCACTTGTCAAGAGAATCTCTCACTAAGACTAGTGTTCCTAAAATTGAATCGGAACTGTTAACTAGACTTAGGTTTGAAAGCGGTTTAACCGATCTAACCAATAAACCAACATGATCTAACCAATAAACCAACATATTCAACCGCTCTAAAAGGACCAAGTTCCAAACGGAGTAAAAAAAGTGTTGAAAAGAAAACACATAAAGAACGAACAAATCAAATTCTTTATTTTTGAAGATTTATATAATTTCTTTTTAATTCTTTTTTTAAATACCGGTTGATTACCCAAAACCAGAATGGCCGATTCTGGTCTAACTGCACGGTTAATACGGTTAATGGTTAGATCGAACGATTTTTGCAAACAACACGATTAATACGGTTAATGGTTAGATCGATCGATTTTTGCAAACAATGCTAGGAACCACTCTCTATATATAGAAACCTTGATTCCAGCGCCCACAAGGAAATCAACGAGCACAGACTTCATCTTGGTTTGCCCACTCTTGAAATCGTCGCCCCCAATCAAGCTGTTTGTCTTTATGGCCAGCTCAATCAAACCTGAGTAGCCCACACAAACCCAACAAAATTCAAGCCCAAATGTCCCAACAAATAAAACTGAAAACATCAAAGGGTCTAACTGTTTCAACCACTTTAATTCATTCCTTTCTTATTAGAGTTTGATTACCGGGTACGAAAGTGTTTTGGGGGCTTCCATTGATAAAGGGGACGTTCTCTAAGACGCAGGCCATGGCGTGGAGGGTGGAAGGGGAGATCTCGGCCTCGTTCCTATCGACGGCGGCCAAGAGGTTCTCCATGGTGTCGTTGAGGCCCTCCACCACATCGCTGTATCTCTCTGTGTTGGCCGTCCATAGCACCACCACCATATCCACTTTGTTCGTCTCCTTGAATTCCCTACAAAATAGCTCAACAAAAGAGAGAGAGAGAGAGAGAGAGAGAGAGAGAGCGAGAGAGAGTTACAGTTATATTCGTAAGATAAAAGAGAGGATTAATTAGAGGAGAGCATTTGAAATCAGTCGTAGACTTGCAAGGAAATGTGGAAAAAGAGCAGACACAATTCTTTGGGAAAGAGTGAAGATGACTAGCAAAAGTCACAAATATCAAGACAAAGTTGAAAAACCTAGACAGAGGAAGGAGAGAGACGTGCAACACTTGCACTCTCTTACAAGGACGGGCGGCAATGGGTTCGATCCGGCTGGACCTGGACCCAAACTCGAACCGTATTCAGGTACAGTTTTTCGATCAGGATTCAACCCGTTGGGTCCAAAATTGGACCCATACTTATATCCGTCTGGTTATCAGGTCTATACGGTCAAGTCCGGAGTTTGGTTGGATCTATTGCCACCCTTATTATAAGCTTTTTTCCTCATTATAAGCTTTCGTTTTTCTTTTTTTACCATCATATACATTATAAGCTTTCGTTTTTCTCTTTTTTTACCATCAGACAACAAGGTCACTATCACTTTTCATGCGGTTTGATTTGTCTTTTAATAAGCAGAATAAGAGTTTTTATTGTATATATTCCTTAATACACCCAAACAAATAGAGTTCGAGGTATTTTATCTCCAACAAAAGTACGGATCGGGTCCAACCAAACCCAGGCAGATACAAATAGTGTTCGGGTCGAGGTTTTGGACCCAGACCGGTCCAGGGTAGGGTCTAGGTCCATTGCCACCCCTACTTTAAAGGGAAAAGGGAAGCCTATAGAGACACGTGCGACACCTGCACTCTCATACAAGGGAAAAGGGAAGCGTAGAGAGAGAAAGTGACGAGACTTAGCATTTGGGCATTGGAGATTACCTTATGTCATTGATGATCTTTTGCACCTGCTCCTTCTTGGTGCCCTTGATGACATTGTTAGCTCTAGAGCCCTGGTTCGCTGCTATGAAGTCGGGATCATAGATACCAGGAAGAGGAACCATGGACTCCATGTACGGCCTCAGCTGCCTTTGAAGATCGATGTCCAGAACCTTGGCTCTAGCCATGGAGTCAGCCAGGTTCATGTCGCTTATGTCCCATCCCCCCAAAACAATGTCATCTGGGTTCACCTGTTTTTTTCCATGTACAATTCAATGTCGGTCATTCCTTCAATTAAACCGCCATCACATTAAAAACTTCACTTTATTAGCTGAAAATCTCCCTCTATAGAATTAGAAACTTTAGATTTATTTGTCCTTAAATGTGCAATTCAATGTCAGTCATTCCTTCAACTAAACCGCCATCACATTAAAAACTCCACTGTATTAGCTGAAAATCTCCCTCTATAGAATTAAAAACTGTAGATTTATTTGTCCTTAAATGTGCAATTCAATCTCAATCATTCGTGAAATTAAACCGCTAGCT